CATTTTGACCAATAGATGCTTGCCAGGCAGGAATTGCCCCTGCCTTGGGCATGCTGGGAGGGACCAGAATCTATCACCAAAGCGGTGGGGCTGTGTAGGCCCGAGCTTCAGCTTGTAATTTACAATAAAAAGACCCTCGTGTGTTTTGCAATGGAGTTATTCCTGTAGATCTTTTGGGGGCTCGCGAACTGGGTATAACACAAGAAATCCTATAGCTTCTTGAACCTTCTTACAATTTGAGTATTGAAATAGCCTAGCAGCATCTTAACTTTGCTAGTACTAGGAAAAGTAGTGTTTAGAGCCATCACAAAAGATGCCAGCTCAGACAACTCTCTAAGCCCAGTATATATTTCCCGCCAGCCCACTTCACAGTCCAGAAAACTGCACTTCAGGAAGAGGGGACCTTACCACTTTTCCTTGCCTCTCTCTGGCAGGTTGGAGCAAAGATGAGCTTAGGATACAGCTTTTTCTGTCTCCTCAAAGCCTGGATTTCAGAATACTTCCCTTCAGTCTTGAAGTCTTTGTCGGTGGAAAACCTTAACCAAGAAAAGTATGCTTGGTTGGTCTAGAGCTGTGGGTTAATGACACTAGTCACTAAAGTCAGCTACATTCTCAGAGATCCCAATGAAGAAGAACGACCAATGACAGAAAGTTCGTGTTGCTGGTTTAAAAAAAAAAAATGGAGGGGAGGGCTTTGAAAGCTTAACACAGGACAAACCTGGCTGCCAGTTCCAGGGTCTCCTGTCTTCTCAGTATTAGAGAAAACCTCCACCTACGAATAGTTACAAATAAAACCTTTTTATGTTTGTAAACTGCTCACATGTGGTATGTATTTCCTCATGCAGGTGCCGTGTGTGCATGCAAGTGTGGAGGCCAGAAACACACGCTGGGCGTCTTCTCAGTCATTCTCCGTCTTGGTTTTTGAGGCAGGACCTCACGCTGAATCTGGAGTTTGCTAGACTATCTGGCCAGGAAGCTCCACCTGTCTCCACCTCCCAGTGCTGGCACAACAGGCTGGCACCATACACCTTGGCTTTTTAACACGGATGCCAGAGATCAAACATAGGTCCTCAAGTATGTGCAGCCTCCAAACACCTCTTCTTTGTATCCTCACAGCATGTCTCTCTAGTTCTTAACTTATTTTTCTGTGTCCTCAAAACACAGACCTTCGAATACATCTTCCTTTGTTATTGAAATTATTGTCGGTGGAAAACTTTAGTTTTGCATTGCTGTTTCTTCTATTAGCGTATAAGTGATGCTATCAGTAATGATTTTCCCTTCCCCAAGTCTACTCATCCAACTTTCTCTTCTCTTTCTCTCTGGCCCTTTCTCAAAAAAAAAAAAAAAATCAATCCACAAAAAAAGAAAATCAGGGTAGGCACTCAGGAGGCAGATCTCTGTGAGTTTGAGGCCAGCCTGGTCTACAGAGCAAATTCCAGAATAGCCAGAGCTACACAGAGAAACCCTATCTCAAAAACCAAAACCAAACAAACAAACAAACAAAAGCAGAGAGAGAATCAAAACAAAGAAGCAAAAGACAAAAAAAAAAAAAAAAAAAAAAAGCAAAAAAATTAAATTAAAAGTCCCCCAAAATGTCACTGAGTTTGTTTTGTTGTATTGGCCAACTGCTCCCGGGCACACAGCCCAGTCTGAAATGTGGTTAATATACCTGGTGAGACTCCACTGGAGAAAACCAATTTTCTCGTTGCCAGCTGCTATCAGCATGTATCAATTGCAAATAGTTTCTTGGTTGAGAACCCAGCGTCCCTGTCAGTGCTGGGACCTTCTATCTGACCTGGGCAGATCTTGTAGAAGCTGCCACAGTCTCTGGGAGGTCATATGGGACTTGGACCTGCTGTGTCTCCACTACCTGCTGATGGTAAGGCCCTGTTGCTGAAGACAACACTTATGTCCTGGAACATGAGGAATGTTATGTGTTCTGACAACTTCTTTACAACCAAAACTACATGGGAAGCTTCTCCATCCCATCCTCTTCCAGTGGACCTTATCCTAAATCTCCCTGGGCTTCCATTTCTGCTTGCTAAGTTATATAGCAATATGCACAAGGGAAAGATAGTATAAAAACAGGCACAGTGAGGGCTAGCACTTCACCTAAACCATTGCTGTTTTTTGGATGTAGGACCACCTGTGCCTTTCATAGGGAAGACTGGTTTCAGCTCTGGTCTTAACATGGTTTTCTGAGGCACCGTGGAAAAGCAGAAGTTCTTGGTGGGTTTGCGAAGTCTTTCCTGAGGAGAAAAAGAATAAAAAAGGAAGGAAGTTGAGTCCCTAGAAGTTTAAAAATGGAACTGAGTTCCTAGACTAAATCACAATGGAATGGTAAATGCTAACACCCAGAGGGAAAGTAGGAACTCAGAAACCACAATGAGAGGAGAGAGAAAATACCCATTTTGTCCTCCGATAACTTTCCCAAACCTTGATCAGTTTCCTGAGTAACTGGCTGAACTCCTTAGATATGGTCCCTGAAAATGAATGTCTGAGGAAGTTCCTCTGGGTGTGGGGTTAGGGTTTATGGAGTTGGGCTGCACCCTGCTCTTAGTTACTCCACAACATGTGAAACAGTGACTTCGTAGCTGGGCCTTCCCTTGGGTGATGCCACCCAACAAAGAGCATTTGGCTCCGTTTTGAGTACAAATGCAGAGCAGGAGACTTATTTTGTATCGCAGATAGAAACCATCTTCCGCTCAGCACCAACCCTGAGGCAGACTGACAAATGACTTACAACTCAAACTGAAAGGTAAGACTGTATCAGGAAACCCAGAGACCTTCGTGGACACACCAAGCCAGTGAAGGGTGCAACACTCTCTCCTGAACGGCATGAAGAGGGAGATGCCTACCATTGTGATGCGGCAAGCCCACGGCTGGTCACATGACCAGTGTGTGTGTCACGGGACTGACAGGCTGAAAACTCTCAATGGCCCCTGTGACTTCAGCTCAGCCTTGTCTCCAGCACTTGGCAAGGCTTACTTGATTTTCTGCCTATCCGCCCATCCACCCATCCAGACCCTATGCCGCACCTCATCTCCATGTTTCCACAGCCCAGCTGGACCTTGCAGTGCTGCTGCCAGCTCTGTGCTCCAGCAGCTTTCCAACTGGGTCTTCCTCCAGACTGTTGATGTACCTAACAACCTGTGTGGTGCACTTCTGAATCTGGCTCTCTGCCTCTGCCTCCAGCGAGAGCTCCTTAATGTTCTTAAATCTGTAGCCCCTATAACCCTTCTCTAGCCCTTCTGAGGCCTTCATGTGTGGAGATGGATGGACAGATGGATAGACAGATTCATTCACTTTGTGACATGCAATGTGTACAAAATGGAGAGTTTTTATTAGTAGTTAAGATTATAATAAAACGATCTGTGTTTACCAGCAGCCAGCTATCAAGGGAAATCAGGGCTGCTTGGCAAATTGCAGCCAAGCAAGAAAAGCAAAGCCACTTGTGAGTTTATTGTTAGTCAGTGAATTCTGACACTGGGTAAAGATGCAGACGTGCCTGTCTGTGTCCCTGCTGTAGCACACTTCCAGCAGACAATCGCTGAATTGCTCGGGAGACCAAATATTGAGGAGTAAATTGGGAAACAGACCCGTGGAACATTACCTTCCTTCCTTGGAGATAGCTGCCTTATCTACTACATTCTTTTTTTCTGCTGTGGAAAAGCCGTAGAATGAAAGGTCTATGAGGTAATAACTTTGCCATTACTAAAGGTTACATAATCAAAAGCATTCAGACTCTTAAAAGTCATCCAGTCAGACTGTCCGTCTGTCACTCACATTCCACTCATTTCCCTTCAGGTGACCCAGTTGCCCTAACCCTAAAAACAAAGCAAAACTAACATGAGAGGCTGGTGAGCAAGAGCAGCAGGTAAAAGCACTTGCTGTAGAGGCCTGGAAACCTGAGTTCCAACCCCAGAAGCTTGTCCCCAAGCTTCTCTTTACAAAACCCTAACCCCAAGCTTGTTAGGAACTAACTCCCCAAGCTTGTCTTTTGACTTCCACACTTTCTAATGCACTCATGTCTGCTCTGCTTGTAACACACACTAGTCACGACACTGCTGCTAACAGCAAGCTTCATTTTTAATCAACCAAGTGTTCATCTTCTTGTAGTTTTTTTCCAAAACAGTTCAAGCAGAATGAACCCAGTGCCTCTTGCAAAGCAGGCTCAAATTTTTTTTAAGAAATCCACCATGTTCCTTTGAAGGTTCTATTTCTCCCAAGATAAGTCAGTATTTTGAACTGTTTGTCACCTGACTCAGTTTGGGTTGTTTCAGTTCTCCCAGTTTATCTCACTAGAGAAAGTTATGAATGCTATTTTCCTAATGTGAGGTTACGTGAGACCAGTGTGCTGGGAGCATGATACCGCCCCTGGACTCTTTAAAATATCTATCGACTAGGCATAAGCTCTGCTGAGAACCTCCCAGAAGCATACGATCGAAAAGCTCTCTCATTCCATTCTTTTTCCTGATTTTTCCCAGTACCTGTCACCTCATGCTGTGGTTGCTTCCTTGCCTGTGCTCTGCATAGACAGCAAAATAATTACCGAAGACTTCAGTCACCAATATACCTTTCGTCTCTTAGCCTGCAGAGGGTCCGTCTGCACACAGCAGACATGTTTGCTTAACCAATGGCCATGCTATTGATTGACATATTGAGCATTTACCTTCATAATTTCAAAATATTTTTAAAATGCCTGGTGTCGCCGCTCAATTATTTATTCTGAACTCCTTTAAGTTGTTCTAGTCTGAAGACACTGGACTTTGTGCAATTTATTTAATAGGTGACTTAATGAAACAGCACAACCAAAAAAAAAAAAAAAAAAACTAAGATACAGCTAATGACCCTTGCATTAAAAACCGCAGAAAACCTTAGCAGAACTGGACCTCAGAACAAAACAAATAAAACACGGAAAACACGGGATGGATGCTCGGTGGTGAAGGCTACTGCCAAAGCTCGACGATTTCAGCCCAATCCCCATGCCCTAAACGGTGGCAGGAGAGAACCGACCCGACCCTGGCAGCCTGTCCTCTTACCTCCACATGCCACTCCCTCTCCTCACAAAAATAAAGCCCTTTTTTTCCTTTTCTTCTCTTTTTTGTTAAGATTTACAAGCAAGTAAGATAAGCAGGAACGGAAAATTATTTGGAATCCGAAGTGGCACTAGTGAAGAGTGACCATCTTGTCTTGACCATAACACTTGGTTAAATGAGTCTCTTCCCCCCCCCCCCCCGCGTCCCCCCTTCCCCCCTCCCGGTGACTTCAACCAACTGCATATCCGGCCTTGCACCACCCTTCTTCCCCCTGGCTTAACTCTTGCATGGCGTCACTCTGTGTCGCCTTTCAATTTTCATTCCCATTTCCTTAATCTTTTCATATTCTAATTCAGGAGCTTAGAAGTAAAAATCCGTGATTTCCTCAGCGATTTGGTGGTTGGTAGGCTGGTCAGTTTGGTTTTGTTTGTCTGGGTTTACAGAGGTGTCAGTTGCCAGCCTAGGAATTTTACTTCACTGGATCTGATATCCGTTCCTGGTCTGTACTAGGAGTAGAGATGGGGTCACAGTTTACAAAACAAAGTTTCCCAGGCATTCTCGCAGGGGCTGGTGGAAAGGCCTAAAAAGTCCTAACTCCCAAGTCACAGTTTGTGACCATGTCTTTAGGCCATGTTTAAGGCCATGTTTAAGGTCTTTGGTCTATTCCATTCCCAGACTCCAATCTCTTAGATTCTTTTGACTGTACTTTCACTTACTTCATTTCTTCCTGTTAGATTGGGTCTACTCTCCAGGCTGTCAATATCTTTCCCAGCTCCTGACTTTCAAATATCTCTTAAATCAATTTTCTTCACTTCCTCTGCTGTTTTGAATTTAGCATAAATTTTCAGCATTGCTCATCTCGACTATTAAAGTAACATTGTAGCTAATCTTTTGTCTGTTCTACAACTCATGTACCTTCCTTCAATCTGCAAATGCTCTTTCTGAAACACAAATTTGATTACCTCCTTTTACCTCCTGTGGCTTTCTCTTTTACATCTCCATAGAAGCTCCTGGCTTCTTAGGTCTCCAGGCCTTCCCACCTCCCTCAGATTGGAACATTCTCTTATTCTTCTGCAGTGAGTCTCCTCTGTGATTATTCCTTTCTCCCCAACAGTGAGAGTCTTCTCTAATCTATGTAATTTCTATATTTTCAATACTTGTCTTATTCACATATTCTGGTACAGTAGAATTATTTTAATGTATATTCTTTTTGATTTATTAGATTCCAAGATTTCTCAAGATAGAATTTGTCCTATGATCTATAAAGTGTCTTTAGAGTCTTGTTCTAGTTTTTAGCTTACTAGAGCTGTTCAGCAATTAGTAATAGTATTTTGAGACAGCAGAGTCTTGCTATGTAGCCCATGCTGACTTCCAGCCACAGCATTCTGGCTTCGTGGCGCATGTAGCTGGGCCCGAGGAGGAGGTGGTGGTGTCCTGGTTCCCATCTCTCTGTGCTTGCTCTGAGCCCTCCTCCCTCTGTCCATACAAAGGCTGCCAGGGGACTTTCTTGGGTGCCGTTACCTTGAACTGAAACTCCGGGGGAAAGTATTTCGGAGCCCCATCCTTTTCCTGCTGGCTGATGGAGCAGGGAGGTGGGTTGTTGGTCATGAGCAGTAAGGTCAGATTTTGGTCATATTCTGTCACTTGTACCATGAAGCTGTTGATTTCATTCCTTTGAGCCAGGGATCTCTGCAGTTTACTGGGCTTCAAAGGCTCATAGTATTTGGCCTGAGTAGAGAGAAACATTTCCAGACAAAGAGATTAAGTCAAAGGAAGACTAAGGAAACAGTTGGCCTAATTTCTTTTCCCTCTACAGGGTAGGCTGAGAGGCTGAGCAGGGCCTGAACAAACCTGCCGTGGAATTTGTCCATTTGAAACGTTTGGAAGCTCTCTGTCATGGCCTTCCCTTAAGCTGCAAATAAACGAGGGGCCTGGGGAATTCAGCTGGGGAGTTTCCATGGAAACAGACCAAGATACTTAAAGTATTTCCAAAGGAAGGAAGGAAGGAAAAGAAGAAAAGAAAAGGAAGTAAAACAGGAGAAGAGGAGAAAAGAAGACAGGGAGGAGAGAGGAAGGGAGGGGAAGAGAGAACAGGAGAGGAGAGGAGAGGGGAGGGGAGGAGAGGAGAGGAAAGGAGCAGACCAGAGAAGAGGGGAAGGGAGGGGAGAGGAGGGGAAGAAAGGGAGGGGAGGGGAGGAGAGGAGAGGGGAGGGGAGGGGAGGAGAGCAGGAGAGAGCTAGCATCCAGCCTAGTCGCACAGACAACAGTTGCACAGGGCTCAGCCTGAGGCAGAAGGGAAACCCCAGGCCCACAGTGAAGCTCAGCTTTTCTCTTGTTTCCACCAACTCTCTCTGCAGGCACAGGCATTACCAACAAGCTCTAGAGTGGGTGAAACGGGAAAGACAGTCACGAAGCACAGTGAGTCATTGCAGGTGTGGGTGGGGAAGGGATGGGTCACCTCGGAGCTTGATTCTCTCTGAACAGGAAGACTGGAGGGCGGGGGAGGGAAGCAGCACGGGTACATATATTTTCCCTGATTATGTCTCTTGCTGAAGAATAAAATGAAATGGGTCTCAGGCCTCTCCTACTGTACAACCAGATCCCAGCTTTGCATCCCCAAAGCTGTTCCGTTCCCCATCCGGGAAACTGGGCTGTTCTGTGGTTGGGGCTCTGGACCCATTGCTGAGGTTTACCTGTCAAGGTCTTTGGGGGGTGCTTTCCACCTACCATATTTGGATGGACTGAGTAGTACTTGAGGTTCTTTAGGACAAATTTTGATGGCCCAGTTGTATCATATATCTGAAGAAAAGAAACAGATTTAGTGGTCCTACTCAGTCTCTGTGTCTGTCTATCTCTGTGTGTGTGTGTGTGTGTGTGTGTGTGTGTGTGTGTGTGTGTCACACAGAAGCCAACAGTAGATGCCTTTCTCTTTACCTTATTTCTTGAGACAGTGTCTCTCCCTGAACCCAGAGTTTACTGACCCAGGGAACCCCCTGCTTCTGCGCCTTCCCTTCAAATTACTAGAGTTATGGGCCCACACTGCCATTTGAAAGAAAAAATTTAACTGGATCTCATGTAATCCAAGCTAACCTCTGATCTCTAACTAGGATTCCAGCATGTGCCATAATGCCTGGTTTATCCAATACTGGGGATTTAGCCTAGGGCTCTGTACATGTCAGGCAAGCAATCTACCAGCTGAGCCACATTCCCAAGCCTGGCCTGAGGACTGACCTCAGGTCCTTCGTGCTGTATCACTGAGCTACTACCCACACCTACTAAACATATAGCCTCATCTCCTCTTACAAGAAGGGTCTTTTCTGGGCACTAAGTGAGGACGACCTATTCTGCCTGTCTTGTATCCTGGGGTTTCTGGAACAAGGCCTACAGGCAGGAGAGCAGCATTCTGAAATAGGAAGAGAATTGTAGAAGGCAGTAATGTGGTCCTGCCTTAGGAGTTCCATGTAAGAGGGCGAGGAAGCTAGCTCAGTCCAGAAAAAGTGCTTGCCGTGGAGCAAGAGATCCACAGAAACCTCATAAAAGCCATTCATCATGGAACATGATTATATTCCCAGTCTGGGAGCAAATACAGGTAGAGCGAGCCCTGGTGCTCCTCAGCTAGTCAGCTCACTCTAGTCAGTGAAGCCAGACACCAGTGAGAGACTCTGAAAAGACAAGCCGTATAATTCCCAAGGAACAAAACCTGAGGATGACTCCTTGTCTCCATATACGCGTGAACATGTGCCCTCAACCCCCATAGACACCCATACGCACACACACACACACACACACACACACACACACGCACGCACGCACATACTCACACACACATATACACACTAACACACACATACACACTCACATACACACTCACACGCACACACACTCACATACACACACACTCACATACACATAGACACACTAACACACACACACATGCACACACACATACGCATACACACACACACACACACACACACACATACACACACAATGCCACATGAAGCAGAAGGGCAGTAGACAGATGAAATTACCCTTCCTCCTCCTTTTCCCTTTACAGGAGTAAGATCAGGTGATAGCAACATCGAGACTAACCTTTAAGGAGAAAGGCAAACGAAAGAGCAACAACCTGAGAAAGGTGGATTCTAGGGATGTCTGCTAACTGAGCTGGGAACTGGCAGTCACAGAACAAGAGAGAAGAGAGAACATTTTGCATTTCTAAATATCTCTGCAAAATAAAATTTGTCTAAAGATGCTGAAAAAGTTAAATTTTGGTGTCCCTGTGTCTAGTAGTTAACACCATTGTATTGGGGGCAGTGCTGCTACTTGGTCTGTAAGAAAGAGCTCTTCCCTGTGTGCTTAGGCTCTCTAAAGATGAACGCAAGAACAGAGACGATGAATTACATTCTCAGCATACTCAGAAAGCAGAATAAAGGGAGACGAGTATAATCCCGAGTTTGAATCATCAGTTCTGAAGATACCATGCCTCCAAAGAGTGGCATAGTAAGGTAGGGTTCTGGGAAAGGAGGCATGCCCTGGAGAGTGAGTAAAGCCAGAAGCAGATGGAGAGGAAGGAGACAGGAAGAATGGGGTAGAACCACAGGAGGGAAGAATGCACTATACTTCAGGAGAAAAATGCTAAGGGTTGTGGCTTTTGGGTTAGATGGAGAGAAGTGGCTTAGCCACTTCTGTTAGGAAGGGTGAGAAGAAATATTCCACAAATCCAAAGAGCTAATCATTTTGTTTTTAATCTTGAAAATGTAATTTCTATTTGTTCAAAATGAAGGTTATGAAAAAACCTGATTCACAAGAAAGTATATTGTATGAAACACACATATATAATAGAAACTTAAAAAAACTGTTTGGGGGAAAGGTTTGAAGGCTTTTTTTTTTCCTTAAAGTTTTAAAAAATTAACTTTTGGGGATGTCTCTAAGGAAAACATTGTAACTTCTGGGCTTTTCTGAGGAATTGCATCTTTGTTACAAATTTGCCTCCAGCAGCTGACTAAACCCAAACATTGGAATATGTTTCTCATTTTGTTATGTTGACTTACATTGTTGCTGTGAAATAAAAGTTGGCTTCAAACATTCACTTGAATAAGATAATCTTGGGAAGCAAAATTGGGAAGCAACCGGCCGACGTCGCCAGCGGAGTTTTGCTGTGAGCAGCGGCTTTGAGGCCCTTTTGCAGTGCTGGTGGGCGTGTGGACTAAGGCAGCCGCCATGGAAGTCCGTGGGAAAGTTTCTCAACAGAAGTGAAATTAGGGCTGCCATGGCTGCACCTCTCTGAAATCAGTGCATATCAGTGCTGGACCATTCACAATCACACTGGGGCAGAAACCAGCCAGGATGTCCAACAGATGAATGGGTAAACATATTGCGGTTCATATACACAGTGGATTTTATTTAGCTTTAAAGAACAATCAAATTATGGCAATTTCAGAAAACTGGATGGGCCCATTATGTTAAGTAAAACAAGCCATTCTCAGAAAGATAAATGCACTCGTTTTCTTTTATATACAGAAACTAGATTTAAGGGTGTGCATATGTGTGTGAGTGTGTGTGTGTGTGTGTGTGTGTGTGTGTGTGTTGGGGATTAAAGTAGAAAAGAAACCATCAAAGGGAGAAAGAGAGCTCAAGATGGTGGATGCTCTAGTTTCCTTTCTGTTGCGGTGATAAAAACACACTGATCATAAGCAACTTAGGGAAGGGAAAGATTTGTTTGGCTTATACTTCCAGGTCACAGGCCATCACTGAGGGAGGCGGGGCAGGAACCTGCAGCAGGAAGCCATGAGGGAACTGTTGGGCTTTCTAGCCCAGACTTCTTTCTCGGGGAATGGTGCTGCCTACAATGGACTAGGCCTTTCTGTATCAATTAACGATCAACATTAACCCTACATACATGCCCACGGGCCAACTGGATGTGGGTGACTCCTCAACTGAGACTACCTTCTCAGAGGACTCTAGACAGTGTCAAGTGACAGTGAAAACTAACAGAACAGAAGATAATCGAATGTGGGCGAAATGAACACAAAAGAGGGAATTGGTCAGCAAGAGCAAGATAGAGAACACGGAGAAACAGTGGCAGGAGGGGAACAGATCGTAATAAACTATACTGTCACATTCCCATGACATATCCAGTGCCAGACTTAGTGGGATGGGCTTGTGGTTTCGGCTGCAGAAGCAGAAGCAGAAGGACCTTTAGTTCAAGGTTATACTGGGCAACTTGGTGAGACTGTATTAAAAAGTGAAAACGGAGGTGCACTGGTGGGTTTTCTGTGTCAATTTGACACACGCTAGAGTCATCAGGGAAGGAGCCTCACTGAGGAAATGTCCCCATGAGATGCAGCTCTAGGCATTTTCTCAATTGGTGATCAGTGCTGAGTGGAGCCATCCCTGGCTGCTGGTCCTGGGTTCTATAAGAAAGCAGGCTGAGCAAACCAGTAAGCAGCACCCCTCCAAGTTCATTGCATCCTGCCTCCGGGTTCCAGCCCTGCTTGAGTTTCTGTCCTGATTCCTCCAATGATGAACTGTGATCTCAAGTATAAGCTGAGTAAACCCTTTCCTCCTCAACTTGCTTTTTGGTCATGGTGTTTCATAGCAGCAATAAAACCCAGCTAAGACAAGGGGTCTGGAGATAGCTCAGAGACAGTGACTGACTGGTATGCATGAGGCCCTGGGTTTAGTCTCTAGAACTACAAAACAACAAACAAACAAAACAACTAAAACGAAACATTTGTATGCTAACTTTAAAAAATCAATTAAAAAGTGGCATAAACTGGGCAGGGCTGGTGTACCCCTTTAATCTCAGCACCCAGGAAGCAGAGGCAGGCAGGATCTCTCTGGGCTGGAGGCCAGTCTGGCCTACAAAGTAAGTTCTAGGACAGCCAGGACTACACAGAGAAATCCTGTCTTGGGGGAAAAAATGACATTAAAAAATAATGTTGCTGTGTAGGTTAGGACTTCCTCCTTCCTGAGGGAAGTCATTGGTCTTGGGTTTTGTGCCCTGATTTGTGCTGAGATGCCATTCTTGCCCCCTCAGCATCTCTGGCTCTTCTCTGTTAAATGAAATAAATTAATCTTACTCTGTATATAAGTGTTTGCTCCTCTTTGCTTTTACATAGGAATTTGTAGACTCACTTGTATGATAGTTTAAGCAATCCCAAGAAAAGATGACATAGGAACAGATACAACTGGTTTTTCTTACCTCCTCGCCATCAGGACCTAATTTTGTATCAAATTTAATAGTGACATTTCTCGAAATCTTTGGTAACTTAATGTCTTGAAACCTGAAAAGGGGTGAGAGATCTGTTTGCATTACTGGTTCAAGAGTCCCATCTTTCTGCATGTCCACAGTCACATATTGAAATGGCCCTGACTTTGCCAGAGGTGGCCAATTAGTCAGTCATGAAAAAAAACATACCTAGGGAATTTCACAAGTAATTTCTGATTCCTATTGGCTTTGCTTAGATCAATGGTCAAATCATTTTCTAACCATATCCAAAAGTCTCTTTTCTTAGAACTAGGGAAAGTAAAATTAGTCATCACTGGTGAACAGTTCAACGAACTATTGTTCTCTTCTGTCTTCCACCAGGTACCCCTTCTCTTCAGGGAAAGGAGGAAGAAAGTTGCAATCAGTGATTATAAAGTATCTTGTGTTCTCTTTTCCCACACTGGTGCCTGAACCTGGACACTCGCACTTGCCAGACAAGGCCTCTACCCCTGACCTAATCCCTAGTCCTCCAAGCTCAGACCAAAGTGCTTTAAAGGATCCCCAGGCCTATTGTATACATTCAAACAAGCTCACTTTGTTACATATGTCAAAGCCTTTTTGACAGATTCTCTTACTGTGAGCACACACCAATACCGCTGCATCGTTCTTATTGCGACACTTTTCAAAAAAAAAAAATGGGTTTTGGTGTTTACAAAACAGCACAGGATCTCAGACTCTTCCCCAAAGTCAGTTTTAGGCCTTGAACAATGACACAAGAAACTCTTCCACACCTCAGCAGTACCAGTCTTGGGTGCCTGGCACTTTCTTTAAGGCAAAAATCTTTTTGTTGCTACACAAAATACAGATCCAATTCTATTTTGTTTTGTTTTTCTGCAGTCAGTCAACTGAAACATATTTCATAAAGGTCTGCTCTGTGATTCATAACACCCAGAGTGCTGCGAGGGACAAAATAGTGGAAATTGGTGTTTGTAGCTTAATTGAGCAAAGAAGATTACGTACAAGGCATATTTCTTTGGACCCATCGCTATTCACTGAGAACTTGACCAACAACTTGCAACAAGTATTCATTGAGGCCTAAAGTCCATGTCTATAAGTGATTCGCGTTCTGCGAGACTTCACATCAACAAAATATTCTTTCCTTTGCACAACTATGTGCCCGCATCCAATCTTGATCCTGCGTGAAAACAAAAACAAGTTAATGGATGATATCATGACGGGGAGCTGTTCAAAGCATGATGACCCTCCCTGTGAGAAAGCCAATTTATTTAGCCCATGAGGAAAGAAGGGATCATTATTAAATCTGAAACAAAAAAAGAGAAATACATGCTGATAGATCAACAACTTCATCTCCTGGAAGTCTCAATTTCATCTGTAAAGTCAAATCATTAGCCGAGTGATTTAATGGTGACATTCTAATCTGCTGACAGTGGCAGGATTCTACATTCCATGTAGATTCAACCTACATGTGTACAACAAAGTCTGAGGAACTTCCAGTTTACCTTTTCTTCCAGCTTACAGCCATCCTTATCCACAGCTAAGGCCTGAGAAGCTGGGAAAAGTATGTGGTGTGTGTGTGTGTGTGTGTGTGTGTGTGTGTGTGTGTGTGTGTGTTGGAGCTGCTATACTTAAAAAAAAAAGATTCATTCTACCTTTAATTATGTATGAGGGATTTGTGTGTATGCATACAGGTGCCCGCAGAGGCCAGGGGTGTCAGATCCCCCTGGAACTAGAGGTAACGGTGGTTGCAAGCCGCCTGACATGAGAGCTGGGAACAAAATTCAGGTGCTGCAAGAGCAGCAACTGCTCTTAATCGCTGAGCTGTTTCTCCAGTTCCTGCCAGACTTCCTAACACACACAATGAGAAATATGAGATACAAGCCGAGTGAACGTGTCATTCAGAGAAAGGAGAGGCTGGTGAGGCGAGGGAAGGTGGTTTTGTCAAGGCTGTGGGGTGTAATGAGAGTCTTGTAGGATGGCAGGTGGCGCTCCCAAACTGGAAGGTTAGTGGTGGTTGTTCTGAGTCCGGTAGGGGACTTGAAAGTTAAAAGCTTCGGTAAGACTGGTAAACCTCTGGGGAAGTGGGCTAGCGGGTTCTTTAGTCTTTTCTCGTGTTTGGCTTCTCTAGACTTGTCTGTGCAGTTTTAAGCATATAGTGACACTGAAATAAAATTTACTGTCAATGCGAAGCTATTGCTAGTCTTGTGTTGTTTGTGTGCTTCCTGGGATGGAGGGGAAGAATCGCACAAACATAAAAACTGCATTCAGGATAGAAAGATGTACACAGCCTGGTCGTCCATGTTTGTCCTAGCTACTCATCCTAGCAATGTAGAAAGACCAGGACAAAGGAAGAAGAGAAAGGAGGTGAAAAGAAGAGGGAGAATGGAAACCAACCCATCTTACGATACCTTTAAGGAAGTTACACTTCCTTAATATGGAAATTTCACATGTTGAACGAAATGATTCCCTTCAGGATTCTGAAGGTAATGGGGAATTTGTGATGAATTAGCAAATCTAGAACCCTGAGCAGCTCTGTTCTAAAGACAGAATGTGAAGCACAAAGATGCGCGTTAAAAAGAACAATCTGTATGGCCAGCCTTCACGTGTCTAAGCTATCACTCTTCCTCCCACTGACCTGTTCAGCATCTCTTCACCTCTTCCAGAACGTCTTCACACAGTAAGATGCCCACCTCCCGACACAGTAAGCGTGCTGTACACACGGGAAGCACCTTGCCCGCATTCCCACCCCCACCTTCAAACACTTTCCATCTGATTCTTCTTCCCTTATGCTAACAGATTGGCTTTCCGGCCAACGCCTCCAGGCATTCTTTTGGTGCATGTTAAGTATCTTGTAGTTCTATTTGTATTTTGCTTACATACTGGTCTTGTTTCCCTCTAAGACAGTCAGCGCCTTAAAAAGGGAAATGTGACTTTTATACATATTTTCAGCCACTCAGTGTTTTGTATAGTAGGCACTCAGATTCAGTTTATTTTAAAATATGTGATAATGCATGAGACACCATCCTAGGTCACTGAAACCAAACATAAATTCAATGTGTTTGTCAACCTTGAAGAGAGCAAGTTAGTTTAGAAAGAAATGCAAGGACAGTACAACAAAATGTGAGGCCCACATCAGAGACAAGTCCAAGATGCCAGGGGAACAACGAGGAAGAACATTCAATCCAGAGTGGAAGAGGGTTGAAGAACTGTATCTATCCAATATAGCACTTGAATTTTTTCCAATAAAACTTCTTAAATTTTTTAGATTTATTATCCTATCCCATCCTATATACTGTATATACTATGCTATACCACACTATACGGCCTGCACATGCGTCTGCAGGCCAGAAGAGGGCACCAGATCTCCTTATCGATGCTTAGGAGCCACCATGTAACTGCCGGGAGTTGAACTCAGCACCTTTAGGAAGAACAGCCTGTGTTCTTAATCTCTGAGCCATCTCTCCAGCTTAGTACTTGAAGTTTTAGCTAGAGCAATGAGACAACTAAAGGAAATAAAAAAAATATAAATTTATTGGAGGAAGGTTCAACTGTGTTTTCAAATGCTGATTTCAGTGCCTTGAGATTTGGTTACCACCCAGCCAAGGGCATTGTTATTAATGTTAAACTCCTGTTCCTTTGTGTTGAGAAGGAACGGTCTCCAATTACCCCTAATTGTCTGATTAAAAGGCCTACACTTGGGCAGGGCAGAAGAGGTAGTCTAAGGTTCAAGAGCTTTGGGGACAGACAGAAGGATCACAGGAGAGAGAAACAGAAAGAGGGACAGGAAGGAAGCAGAGAGGCCACCGTGGGTAAGTGTAGAAAGAAGCTCATGGCGGGCATGGATGGAGGAAGCGGCCCAGACGAAGAATAAGTATTTACGGAACTATGGATGGGAGGTGGCCTGGGATAGGGCTGGGAGGTAAAGGTAGTTTAGAGGGTTAATATTTGCCCTGACCCAGGTGATATAAGGCTCTTCTAAAATCTATCAGGTGTCTGGGTCTTTCATTGATTGTGATAGCAGGTTAGATATACCACTGTGATAATTATAGGCTAATAATAAACATTATTAGACCTTACCATTAAGTTAACAGCAACACAGATTGGAAAGGAATAGGTCAAAGTATCACTATTCTCAGATAATATGATAGTATACGTAAGTGACCCCAAAAAGTCTCCCAGGGCACTCCTACAGCTGATAAACACCTTCAGCAAAGTGGTTGGGTAAAAAATTAACTTTTAGTTAAAATCAGCAGTTCTGCCTATATACAAATGATAAACAGGCTGATAAAGAAATTCAGGAAATAACACCCTTCACAACAGCCACAAATAATATAAAATATCTTAGTCTAACGCTAACCAAGCAGTGAAAGACCTATATGACAAGAACTTCAAGTCTCTGAAGAAAGAAATTGAAAAAGATATCAGAAGATGGAAAGATCTCCCGTGCTCATGGATTGGAAGTATTAACATAATAAAAATGGTCATCTTACAAAAAGCAATCTACAGATTCAATGCAATTTGCAACAAAATTCCAGCATAATTCTTTACAGACCTTGAAAGAACAATACTCAACTTCATAAGGAAAAATAAAAAAAACAGGATAGCTAAAATAATCCTGTAAAATAAAATAACTTCTGGAGGTATTACCATCCCTGATTTCAAGTTGTACAACAGAGCAATAATAATAAAAACTGCATGGTACTGACATAAACACAGACAAGTGGATCAATGGAATTGAATTGAAGAACCCACACACCTATGGACACCTTGATTTTGTCAAAGAAGGCAAAACTATAGAAAAAAGACAGTATCTTCAACAAATGGTGCTGGTCTAACTGGATAGCTGCATGTAGAAGAATGCAAATAGATCCATACTTATCACCCTGCAGGAAACTAAAGTCCAAGTGGATCAAAGACCTCAACATAAAACCAGATACACAAAACCTAATAGAATAAAAAGTAGGGAAGACCTTTGAACACATTGGCACAGGAAACAACTTCCTGAACAGAATACTGACAGCTTTGTAATTAAATCAACAATTAATAAATAGGACCTCATAAAACTGAAAAACATCTCTAAGGCAAAGGATATCGTCAATAGCAAAACAGAAGCCTACAGACTGGGAAAGATTGTCACTAACCGTACATCTGACAGAGGGCTCACATCCAAAATATATAAAGAACTCAAGAAACTAGACATCAATAAACCAAACAACCCAATTAAAAAATGGGGTACAGAGGTATCTCGAGTGGCTGAGAAACTCTTAAAGAAATGTTCAACATCCTTAGTCATCAGAGAAAATGCAAATCAAAACAACTCTGAGATTCCCTCTTACATCTGTCAGAATGACTAAGATTTAAAAACAAAAACCAAACCAAACCAAACAAAACAAAAAAAACCCAAGTGACAGGATTTGGAGCAAGTGCAAACTTGTACAACCACTTTGGAAATCAGTTTGGCAGTTTCTCAGAAAATTGGGAATAGATAAACCTCAAGACCCAGCTATATCACTCCAGGGCACATACCTAAAAGATGCTCCACCATACAACAAGGACACTTGCTCAACTATGCTCATAGCAGATTTATTCATAATAGCCAGAAACTGGAAATGACGTAGATGTCCCTCAGCCAAAAAATGGATAAAGAAAATGTGGTAAATTTACTCAATGGAGTGTTACTCAGCTATTAAAGACAGGACATTTGCAGGCAGATAGATCGATCTAGAAAAGATCATTCTGAGCAAGGTATGTAATTACTTGTAAGTGGCTATTAGTCATGAAGTACAGAATAACCATGCTACAAACCACAGTCCCAAAGAAGGTAAGTAGCAAGGAGGGCTGGGGCGGGGCGGGAGAAAGGGTGCTGGACTCTCACTGAGAAAGGGAAATAGAGTGGACATTGGAGGTGGGTGAAGGGAGGAGACTGGGTGGAGCAGTGAATGGGATTGGTAACAGAGATGAGGTGGGGGAGGACAGAGGAAGAGTCCTGGGAGAGACAACTGGATGGAGAGGGGCATCTCTGGGA